ATGCCCTGCAGGCAGCACAGCTGGGATGCAGGACTGGCCTAGGGCTCTGCAGTCAATGCTCAGCTTGAGCCCTTGTTGCTCTAATGAAACCCTCAAGAACAAGAACAGCAGTTTCTTCTGCCCTTCGTGCTGAGCAGCTTGTTATTACTTGCAAAATACTGGTATCAGGACCTGGTGCTGCAGGGGTTGATGCCCTGAGTTAACATTCATGGGCAGTAACTCACAGAGGGGTCTCTTTCATGTAGGCAAGGGATGGGAATGCAGCAGAAGATTCTCATGTCTGAGTGTGAAAACCAGAAGGTTTAAGTCTGAGAGACTCTGGGCAGGGAAGACCAACTTGCATTTTTGGCAAACACCAGATTTTGTTGTTGCCCCCATGGTTTTATGTTTCTTTACCCAGTAAAAAAGCCAGTGCGGATGATTTTGGCATTAGTGAGCACGGTGGCATCATGGAGAAGAGGCAAGGAAATGAAAAAGGAGTTTGGTTTGGGTATGACCAACTTCTCTTCCCATCTTTCAGACTCCACCTTCCGCTACACGGGCAGCCCCGACAGCCTGCGCTCCCGGGCCCCCATGATCACCCCCGACCTGGAGAGTGGGGTCAAGGTCTGGCACCTGGTCAAAAACCACGACCATGGAGACCAGAAGGAAGGAGACCGGGGCAGTAAGATGGTGTCTGAGATCTACCTGACCAGGCTATTAGCTACGAAGGTAACTGCTATGTGCTAAATTCCCTTGGGAAATGCACAGGGAGGTCCCTCTAGACACGCTGGCTGGGGGTCCTGTGCAGATGCTCCTGGGGAGAACTGTCCTCACTGGGCTGTCCTGTGTACTCAGGGTTGGGTGGCTCCTGGAGCAGGAACAGAAACACAGCTCAGATTTCTTCACCCTACAAGGTGATTGCTGCCATACTTCATTCCTCTGTGCAGCATCAAAACACAAAGCGTTGGGCAGTTGCAGTAGCACCTGTAAATATTTAACCAGCTTCCTCGACCAGAGAGACACTTTCCCTGCCCTTCACCTCACGTTCATCGCTGTAGGTGACGCAGATTGAGTTTTGAAAGCAAAAGGAATTGTTTCAGGTTAGAAATCAAGAGCAAGTGCAGCGGTGAGGAGCTGCAGGCTGGAGCGTCCCCCCGGCCTCCTCGGAGAGACCCCAACATTCCCTATCCCTGAGGAGCCCGCGGGGGCACTTTGTGGGGCTGCTCAGAGCTGGCATCACCATCTGGCGTCCCCTCCTGCCAACGCTGCCAGCCAAGTGTGTGCCCAGCTCTCCTTCAGCTCCTCTGTTGCTGCTCCTGCAGGGAACGCTGCAGAAGTTTGTGGATGACCTGTTTGAGACGCTGTTCAGCACGGTGCACCGCGGCAGCGCCCTCCCGCTCGCCATCAAGTACATGTTTGACTTCCTGGACGAGCAGGCGGACAAGCACGGCATCCACGACACCGACGTGAGGCACACGTGGAAGAGCAACTGGTAGGAATGGCAGAAAGGGGGGTGGAAGTGGGGCCAGACCTGGCTGTTGAGCAGTTCTCTGTCTCCTGGGGAAAAACAGGGATGGATGAGAGTTTTGGGAAGGCTGGGAGCCCCCCGGCTCCAAAGCAAGAGATGTCCCATGAAGCTGTGCTGGTGCTTCTCAACCAGCACCTCAGGCAGATGTGGGTTTGATCCTGCTTCATGCTGTGTCTGTGCACACACCAGCCCTGGTGCTGTGTTAAACCACAAACCCAGCTGTCTGCACTCCTCTGGGTGGGTGGGATCCATGCACGTGGACTTTGGAAGTCACTGAGTTTGCAGAGCTGGTTGGCTAGTGGGAAGCAAAGCTCCATGCCTGGCCCACCTTGCCTGCCCCATCCTACCTGCAACCCTGCCTGCACTGCCCTACTTGCACCTCTCTGCCTGCACTGCCCAGTCTGCACCTCTGTGCTGGGGCAGGAACACCAGCACACGCAGGGAGGGGAGAGCTGGGCAAGTGGCTGCACCATCCCCAAAGCTTTGGGCAGCAGCTGGAATGTGGGGGCAGCAGGAGGAGGTGGCACGGGGGGGATAGAGGCAGCCTCCCCTGCAGCCAGCACAGACTGCAGCCAGGTTCAGCCCCTCAGAACAATGGGAGCTCTCAGGTCTCTGCCTCTGCTGTTATTTTAGGATTAAAAGCTCTGTGGGTTAGAAATTTACCTCTGCAAGGAAGGAAAAAAAAAAGCCCCACAAATGGTTGCTCCCTGAAGACTTTCCCCGAGTCCCTCATGGTTTAAAAGGCCTTTAATCATCACGGCTGCAAAAGCTGGGCTCCCTGCTAAGGATGTGGGAAGCTAAAAACAATGTATTGAAAGCCTTAGAAGGAGTTATTAGAATAAAAACTCTTGAATCACAAACATGGGGAGGGATGGAAGGGGGGGAGAAAAGAAGGGGGAAAAAAAAGGGGGGATTTCTTAAAGTGATAAAAAAGGAAGTGCCAACCAGTAGGGTCTGCTCTGGCAGAGCTGTTGGGCTGAGCAGAGCTCTGGTCCTTCCCTCTCCCCGGGGCACAGAGGGCTGAGGAGAAGGGTGGAAATTTGGTCCCTGAAATAACAGGGCAATTGCTGAGCACTTCAGTCAGCTGCAGCACCTCCAGAATGGGCATTTCAGTGGGGAGATGGTAGGAGGCTCATGCTCCTGGAGCAGATTAAAGCCAGTGGGGGTCAGGGGACCTGGGGGGCTGAGGCTGGCAGGGATGGGCTGAGCTGCTGCCCCACAGTGCAGCAAGAGTTAAGGCTGAAGCCTGTGGTGCAGCTTGCACTGAGAGCTGAGACTTGAAAGGTAATAGGAAGCAGCAGCTGGTTTTTTGATCCTGCTATACAGCCAAAGGAAAAAGGAATGATAATTCCCCTTTGATTGCAAAGGCCTTGGGATTTGGGGACAAAGACTGGGATGCCTGCTGCCCTGCTCGCCGTGGATGAGCTGCAGCGTGGTTGGGCAGGGGGGACAGCAACACCACAGCCCTGGGCACAGCCTGTGCACCAATTCCTGCCCCAGGCAGAGCAGTTTAATGACCTCCTTGTGGAGCTGCTCAGCCAAGGCCACTGAGCACGGCTCAGCTCTTCCCTGGCACAGCCCCTGCCCTCAGCACCTGCTGCCCACCCTATTTTCATCTGCTCCACCTTTCCATGTGGGATCAGAACCTGGAGCAGCTCCCAAGTGCTTAACTGGGCTAAGTGGTGTTTGATTGACCTCGCCCAGCTCCTACTGAGACAGTTGCTGCTTTCCACTGTTTTCATTCTGCCTGTGAACACAAAACACAGCACATGTCCATTCCTACCTTTTCTCTGAACATTTAGTTTTGTTTGTTGCTTTCCCAACAGCCTCCCTCTGCGGTTCTGGGTGAACGTCATCAAAAACCCCCAGTTTGTGTTTGACATCCACAAAGGCAGCATCACAGACGCCTGCCTCTCTGTTGTGGCTCAGACCTTCATGGACTCCTGCTCCACCTCAGAGCACCGCCTGGGCAAGGATTCCCCCTCTAACAAGCTGCTGTATGCCAAGGACATCCCCAGCTACAAGAGCTGGGTGGAAAGGTGAGGGCAGCAGCATGGGAGCAGGACTGGCCTAGGAACTCCAGTCCTGCCTGGCCTTGAAACTCCAGTCCTGCCTGGCCTTGGCTTTGCTCTTGATGGTGGAGTTGAAGCTGGTGGCTCTAGCAAGGAGCTGTGACACAGCTCAGCCTCACCAACCATCACAGCTCTAATTTTTCAGCTTGCTGCAGACCAGGATCCCCTATTCCTAGGTGTAAGCATAAAGACAAATTATGTCCTTTTCCCTGCAGAGCTTAGTTTAAACCCCAAGGAGAAGATGGCTGTTTTGTGCCCCCTGTTCCTCACGGCCCTTCCTGCCCCCAGGTATTACGCCGACATCGCCAAGCTCCCGGCCATCAGCGACCAGGACATGAACGCCTACCTGGCCGAGCAGTCCCGCCTCCACTCTGCAGAGTTCAACATGCTCAGCGCCCTCAACGAGATCTACTCCTATGTCAGCAAGTACAGCGAAGAGGTGGGTGCCCCTGGAGCGATGCCCTGGGTGGTGGGGAGGATGGGCAGCCACTCCCCTCACTGCCCCCCAGAGCTCCATCCTCCTTCCCCGTCCTTGCTGCCCCAGCTTGTGCTGCTGCCCTGCCCTGCTCTGCACATTCACAGCTGGGTTTGGGTCTTGGCCCTGCCTGTAGCGCCCTTCTCAGGAGGATAGAGAGGAAAAATATGTGGGAGCAACTGCATTCCTCTGCCTTGGCATATGCCCAGTGCAGCCCCACTCCTAAATCATAGAATCTTAGGGGCTGGAAGGGACCTCGAGAGATCATCTAGTCCATGCTGGGAAATCAGCCCAACCCAGTGCAGCTCCCCAGAAACACCCCTGTCTTTTGGGAGCAGTGAGGTACAATCCCCACGTTGCAGTGACACAGACTCCTGTCTGCAAAGACTTCCTGGCAGCATGAGTGCCTTTAATGAATACATCACTGAAACCAAGTTCTCACCATCTGTTCCACCCCTTCATTTCAGTGTGAGAAGAACCTATTTTGCAATTATGTCTGTTAAAAGGAAGGTTTTTTTCATTTAATTGCATGTGTGCATTTGTGATACAATTCCACAGCTATTTTCCAGTTAGGGTTTAGAAATATCATAACTTTCCTGCTAAATGAGACAAGACACGTGGCATCCAAGGTGGGAGAGTAGGAATGAATGTGTTGTGGGGGAACATGCACCGAGTGGTCCAAGGAACTAGTGGGCATGACCAAGTGCTTGTTGCATTGCTTTGCTGGGCATTGCTTTTCACACACATCTCCATTTCATGCTGCTTACATCTCGCCACCCACCCACATCTGCCACCCCCTCATGCACACTGACACTGATCTCCTTTCCCCCTCCCTCTTTTCCCCTCCCTCTTTTCCCCTCCCTCTTTTCCCCTCCCTCTTTTCCCCTCCCTCTTTTCCCCTCCCTCTTTTCCCCTCCCTCTTTTCCCCTCCCTCTTTCACCCCCCTCCTTTCTCCCCCTCCTTTTACCCCTCTTTCTCTCTGTTTTTCTCTCTCCTTTCTCCACCAGCTCATTGGGGCTCTGGAGCAGGATGAGCAGGCACGAAGGCAGCGCCTGGCGTACAAAGTAGAGCAACTCATCAGTGCCATGTCCATTGAGAGCTGAGGAAAGGCTGCAGTGCTCACCACAGCAAAGGGCAGAGGATTGCACAGACTCTGGGGAATTCAGAGGGAGAACAAGCAGGAAAGGCTCTGGACACATAAATACCAAGGCCCTTCTGGAGGGAGGAGATTGGCCCAAGGACTGACCGTGTTCAAAATCGTGCAGGATCCAGTTAGAAAAGGCAGGAAGAGGAAAAGACAAAGCATCTCAATCAAAGGCAAATCAAGAGAGATCATTATTTTCAAGCATACATTGAAAGAAGGAACCTGGAAAGTCTGGATGTCTCCATGACTGCTGCTTTGCATGAAAATTGTTTGATGTATATTAGAAAATAAAACTTTATTTAAAGGTTTTTTTTAAAAAAAAAAAAGAAAAGGAAAGAAAAAGAAGAAAAAAAAAAAGAGAAATAGAGTGAAAACCACCAAGGCCACAGAGATAATCCTGGCAACAAGGTCCAGCTCTGAATCCTGTCCTCGAGAGGATCCCGGGGATGTGGCTCAGACATTCTGCAAATGGACTCTCATGCCAATTGGAAAGTCTGGAAAACTGAAATGTTTTTGGGATCTTACAACAAATATGAGCACAAGTTTGCACCACACCTTTTTACACAACTAAAATAGCAGTTTAGACAGAAAACAGTTCAGTGACTGAGTAACTTATAGGCACTAGAAGGAACTTTACCCAAATTGCAAAACCATCAGATCATCTGACCTGTGTTGAAATCCAGCTTTATCTATGTATTTATATAGTGTCAATATATATATATATTTTAAATCCCATTTACTGTTGAACGAGGAAAGATGCTTTTCCCTTTTCCACCCCTGTTCTTCCTCACCCCAGGGATCCAGCAGCATCCCAAGGGATGGTGTGGCCATGATGACCCAGCAGCATCCCAAGGGATGGTGTGGCTGTGATGACCCAGCAGCATCCCAAGGGATAGTGTGGCTGTGATGACCCAGCAGCATCCCAAGGGTGGTGTAGCAGTTTAGACAGAAAACAGTTCAGTGACTGAGTAACTTATAGGCACTAGAAGGAACTTTACCCAAATTGCAAAACCATCAGATCATCTGACCTGTGTTGAAATCCAGCTTTATCTATGTATTTATATAGTGTCAATATATATATATATTTTAAATCCCATTTACTGTTGAACGAGGAAAGATGCTTTTCCCTTTTCCACCCCTGTTCTTCCTCACCCCAGGGATCCAGCAGCATCCCAAGGGATGGTGTGGCCGTGATGACCCAGCAGCATCCCAAGGGATGGTGTGGCTGTGATGACCCAGCAGCATCCCAAGGGATGGTGTGGCTGTGATGACCCAGCAGCATCCCAAGGGATGGTGTGGCTGTGATGACCCAGCAGCATCCCAAGGAATGGTGTGGCTGTGATGATCCAGCAGCATCCCAAGGGATGGTGTGGCCATGCCCAGCTGGTGTATTGCTGGTTCCACAGGTACCACTGAGCAGAATTGTCCACCCTCCCTGCTGGGCAGAGTTGGGGTGAAGCCTCCTAGGCCTGGTTTTGGGGTGGTTTCTGGCAGCTGCCCTGCACTCTTGCAGTAAAAACCAAGCCCCCAATGTTTACAGTGAGCGATACTTGAAAAGTCTGGGCACAGCAAGCTGGGCTGCTCATGGCTGGTCTGTTTGCCTCACAGGGCCCATCTGCACAGGCTCCCTCTGAGTTCCTCTGCCAGCATTCATGGTGCTGCCCAGGGCCAGGAGTTCTGTTTCCACTGGGGAGAGGAAAAATCTTTGCTCTAGACAAGGGGAAACACAGCTGCCCCAGCCAGCACTGCTGTCGTGTCTCTGTCCCAATGTCTCCTTGTGATACTCAGTTCCTCGCTGGCCCCGACGGTGAGAGCTCTTGTGGCCAGTGACAGGCAAGTGTTTGTGAGTGTTATTTCTTTCAAAGACACCAAAGCTTGTGTGTGTCCCTTTGTAGTGTGCCAGGAAGGGTAGGAATGCTGTAAATATTTCTCTCTGTAATAAATGCTGATGATTGTGCAGGCTGCAGTGGGGAGGACAGGGTGATTAGGGCTAATGGAAATACAAGTATTGACTGCACAAGCTTGGCAGTGGCAGCAAAATCCTCCCAGCACCTGCTCAGCCCTGCCTGGGCAGTGCTGTGCTGGATGGGATCTTAGTTTGCAGCCAAAGTGTGTCAAAGGAAAATCTATTTTCCTGTTCTTTTTCCTCCACCATTCCCAGGGGGGCCGGGGAGGTCATTCCAGGCTCCTCATGCAGCAGGAGAGCTGCCAGCTTCTGGTCCCAAGGTGCAGTCCCAGGGGAGGCTGCAATGGGCTGGGGGAGAAGCATGTGGAGAAATACTCAGGAAACTTGCAGGTTTAATTACCGTTCAGTAAAAGCCATGCCAAGCCCACTTTATTTTGGTAATCCACTTTTGTGAGTTTCTCTGGGCCCTAGTAATACTGTGGATAAAAATATTAATGATCGACCTTGGGCAATAAGCTCTTGACATTGACATTGACACCAGCCTGAGCTTTGCAATGGGAGGGCTGGGATTTACAGAGACACAGAGAGGCTGAGGAGCAGAGCAGGATCCATACTGCCTGTTAGTGGGAGCTTTCCCTCCCCAGGGATCCTCCTCCTGCACAGGGAATCTGATTGATTCCCATGAAATGTGAAATGTCCATGTTCCCCTATTAAAGCCTGGTGAAGCTGTCATTGCAGCAGCTGTTGCCAACCTGTCCTGTTCTTTGCTGGGATTTTACAGGGGATTGTGGAGTGTCAGACCCTCCAGGTCTCATTTTTTTCTAGTTTCTGCTCTTGCTGTTCCCAGTGATCTGACATGTATCTTGTGTGTGTGATTTTCAGGTCTAGTGTTCTAGTTCTGGTCCTTGTTTTGGGTATTCATATTCAGATCATTCACCAAATTCTTACGGTACTCTGAAACCCACCAAAAGCACCCCTGATGCTTTCCAAACACTGCTAAATCTTTGTCTGAGCAGATATTTCTGCAGGATTCACAAAATATGGATAATGCCCAAAGCAAAGACTTGTTTTTTCATCACCTCAGTGGTGGTGGAATTGTGCTTGCCCTTCAGCCTGAGTTAGGCTCTCATGGTCTTTTTTCCTTCCCATCTATTTGTGAGGCTTTAGTGTAGCTGCTTTTCAGCCCACTTTCCTCCTCCTTCTCCCTTAGCAGCCTCTGCCCTGGCAGGAGCCTGAGGAAAGGACCATAAAGTGGGATTATCCTGAAAGGTAAAGTTGAGGAGAAAAAAGAAGCATAATTGCAGAGCCCAGAGGGACTGGTTTGTGAGGAAGGGTTCAAAGAACCCAACGTGTCCAAGCTGGCTGAACACAGGGTCTGTATTCCATGAATACACCAGAGCACTGGGGAGAGAGAGGGAAAACTGAGTTTATGTTCTGTGCTGTGAAAGGAAGTTGAGAGAGGAGGAAAGGGAAAGCAGCAGGAGCTCTGTGCAAAGCAGAAAGCTGTTACACTTTCGACTGACTTCAAGGGAAGCAGCAGAAACATCTCTTCCATAACTTGAGAAGGCATTAGGGGGAGGGCAGGGGAGCATGGTGCTGGCCTGTAAATCATCTGCCTGGTGTCTGCTTGTGGTGATGGACATGAATTATGGATCTTTATGAGCAATTATGTGGAAAGAAGCAACATAACCCCTTGGGGCAAAGTGCTTGTCATCTATTGCCTTGTGTGATCTGACTTTTCTTTGGGAAGAGGAAGTCTCAGCTTTTGAAATGGCATTTTCTTTGCACTGGCAGCAAACTGGACTTGAGGTTTGGTCAGGAGGGGGTAGTGACTTTGCCTTAGATGAAATGATTTCACATCCCTCTTGTTGCCCCCTTCCTCCTGCAAGGCCAGTTGGTGTTTTGACTCTCAGTTCACTTTGTTTCAGGTATTTTTGACATCAAAGCAGGAGACACCATTTCCAGGATCTCTCTGCCTTGTGTCACTGCTTAAATAATTCCATTTAATCTTCTGCTCATGAGCTATCAAAGCACCCACTCCAAGGGGGAGCAAGGTGCTAATCAAATGCTTCTCCACCTTAAAAGCCTTTCTTAAAAACCCATGTACAAGCCCCTAACTTATAGGCAAGCTTGTCTTGGTGTGAGCCCTGTGTGCAGTGCCACGACTCTGCAGCCACCAAAGGACAGAGGATGTGGGCATTCGGTGCTCCATGTTTTGCCATAAAGGGTGAATTTATGTTTAAAGGGAGGCAGGAGAGATCCACGTGGCCAAGGGGCTGGAGCTGCTGCAGGATCCAGCACGGACCAGCCCGAAGCTGCATGAAGACCCATCATGGGAACCAGCACTAGGAAACCAAATGGCTGCCATGGCCTTGGTGCTAGTGAACAGCATCCCGGGCAGTGCCCCAGGGAGCTTTATCCCCAGAGACATGGCTGTGCTGGATGGTGATGCCTCCCCTGCAGGGTCTTGTTCCAGGTCACAGTGGGGATGGCAAGTGCAGCCGCTTGACACAGTGGCAAGAGGGACCTTCATCACAGCAGTGCCTTCAACACACTGTCTTAAAGTCCTCATGGCCCAACCCCACCTGAGTTCTCTCTCCTACCTTCAACTGGACTTCACCAAAAATGTCATCATGTCGGGAACCGTTTGGGCTGGCATGTGGAAGACAAAAGCAAGAGCCCAGGCACAGCCTCACCGGGCACTGGCTCTTCCCCATCCAACTCCCAGCGCTGTCAGAGCTCACCTGCCATGGGGACACTGCTCACCAAACTAAAGGAGCCTAAAATCGACTGACTTGGATAGGCTGGGATATCAGGGAAAGCTCACAAGTGACTGTGCCCTGGAGAGAAGAAAAAACATTCCAAGAAGGATAAATAACTGACATCAAAGATGCATTGAAATGCCACAAAGCTTCAGCCATCCGAGTTCAGAATTGCATTTCTAGCCAATAAAGCAGGGACCTGTGACCTTGTGCAGAGTTGGGCACTTGGAAGAGGTAGGGGAGCAGTCCCATCTGGTTAGGGAACGTGTCCCCAGTGAAAACTCCTGCATCACCCAGCCCCCCTCAGCCTTCACCAAAACCAGTGGGTCAGGCAAAGCACTGGTGACAGCTACGAGGCCACCCAGTGCCTGAGTGGACAGGATGCTTATTTTTTTGTTCTGTTTTTGTTGTTTTTGTTTAATGAGATGTTTGGTGGGGAAATAATCAGAGCAGAAGATGCTGGTGTGTGCCATGGAGAAGGTGCCATTCAGGACCCGCTGAGCTGAGCAGCCCTGAATGTGCCATGTAAACCTAGATCAGTCAGATTCATTTGCAGAAGAAAATGGGAGACTTTGAGCTGCTTTTTGCCACCCGGGGGGAAACCTAGATCAGTCAG